GTGAAAAATTAGCAAAAAGTGGTCAACCAAAATGGTACATATTTGGTTCACTAAAGTTCATTATAAATATAAAAGCAAATATGTTGAAGTTTGAATAGAAATACGAAAAAACTTCTACTATACACAATATTTTGTTGGACGCTTTTTGCCAAAGCTGAATGGAGGAAGACTAAATCGAATAATCTTGGTACTATTTCTTCTACTGTCTTTTTTTTTTTAACATAGTGAGATTGAAAAATCATACACCTAGACACATCTTTGGCGAACCTGGTGAAATAGCTGAGATTGTTGCCAAATGCCTTAATAAATGTAAGAGATCTGGTAATCCATTTTAAGGAGTTTTTGACTAGAAACAAGGCACACAGCTCAAGTGAGATCCACCGCTATCTTCGCTCTGAGTACCAAAGCTACGACCTAACCTGACTTAACCTAGGAATATATCGTTAAACTTACATTATTTTATGAAATTTTCTGTCACCGGAGAATTTACTATCCATTTAAAAATTCTAAATAATTTTTCGAYAAGTTTTTCTGGGTATCGACATATKACTCCAGTTAGTTAAACAGATTGGCAGCACTAAATGAGCCTAATATACTGAAATTTGATTGAGTATCTRAGATTTGTTATCACATATTTTTTTTTGGTAACTTACTAATCCTTGCTTACATTCGGGCTGCAAATGTGTGATGTGACTACTAGGGAAGAAGTTTGTACAYTTTCCACAAAAAGTTCAAATTAATAATTATTTTTATTAAAAAAAATGACCTTCTCATACAGTTTATGCTCTTAATATTTATAGGTGGCGCTTTTAGCTTAAAGTTTGAGCGCTAGATCTCGTCAATTAGCTCGTGTATCTAATAAAATTATTAACAGTTTTAGTCTTCAGCTTGCAATTGTACTAAATAATACTCCCGGGATACTCTAAACATTTTGCAATTACACGAACACTACATTTTCACATATTATTCTTTACACTTCTCGCTGTTTTTAGGGAGGGTGTGTACTCCCTTATTTGKGAAAATGTAGAACTTTCAAGTACTTTTACCGAAAGAAGTGCRTTTTTCTGTCAGGCTGAATGATTATTCCCAAGACGTTACTCATTTTCTGTTTTTTTTCGCTCGTCGTAACTTTTTTCCTAAGTTTCTAATGGATATGTATTTCTAAAAAKACTTACTTTACCATATTCTCCAAACATATTTATGTTGTTGTTGCTGTTGCTGCCAAATTTTAGCAATTTCACCACTCTCTGTGTATTTATTTTGCAGGTAACGAACAAAAATCACACGGATACTCTGGAGCATTATCTAACCGCACACTACGACACGCATCTGGATTCAATGAATCGCTTCAATTTTGCACTACTCTCGAACGTAAGGGACTTGTTCAATTTCAGGTTCGTTACGCATTGCATCTTTCTCTCGATACTTTTGCCGTTTGTGTATTGCAACAAAAAAAAAAACAAAAACTTTTTAAAAGCGATTTTTTTTATTTTTCATTTTTACCTCATTCAAAGACTTCTCATTTTCATCGATACATCTAAGAGAGTGCTTTACAAATATATTATACATAWGTATGTGTGCACATAAATGTATATGAATATATGTATATATGTTAAACGTAGTTCCCCATTTGACATTCCCTCCTTCCCCTTATTCCTGAGTGTTTTGATTGATTGTGTGTGGCGCTGATCAAAGTGGGTGTGACAACAAATTGAAAATGGCAAAATATATACGAATTACTCTGACATGCTTCATCACTTTCGCAACTTAACACTTATTTATTCCTCTTTCACTTTTTTTTGACAGCCACACACATACACATAAGCGACGAGCTTAGATACAACTCTTTTGCTGTTGCCAACAATTTGTCGATAGTCATGTGTAAATTAAGATTTCCCCAGTGTTCGGTATTAGGAGGGAAGAAAATGTATTGCAACACGATTTTTCATTTTCAAATATATTACATACTCGCAATACATTGACATTGAGATACTTATTGCCCGTGTGAATGGGTTATATTTGAATTTAGATATGGAAATTAGAACAAAATTAGTTTGAACGAATGCTCGAGGGCGAGCGATTACAATTAGTGATTACAATTTTTTTATGAGAGAGTTAATTACAAATTTTGAAAATCTATATAGATAATTCAATAATTATCCGAGTTAGATTCGACAAGCTTTAGTGAGTAGCGAATCGAACACATTATACCAGCTATTGAAATAGACATAAATAAGTACAGGGTGGCGCACGTATCGTGCTAAAAACAAAGAAATAAAAAAAAATAATAACTAGGGTTTCTAAACAATGCATTACATTTTTGTTATTATATAGAAATTTTAATTTATTTTATGTTAGTAATTATTTTTAAAAATTATGGACCGTAAATGACCTCTATGCTTAGCCTTACTCATTGAAGCCTGAAGGGCTGAAGTCGGGAGTGCGTCAGTTATCGATTTCATTGACTGTTTCACTTCAGTCAGATTTCTGCGTTTTGTTTTGAACATCTCTTGTTTGACAAAACCCCATAAAAAAAAAATATGGTGCAGTCAGGTGACCTTGGGTGACCTTTCTTAATTTTAATTTGTTTCAAAATTCATTGATGCTGCGCAGTAACCGGTCTGGCTACATGTGCAGGTGCTCCATATTACTGGAAACAAACGCTGTTGAAAGGGAGTGAAAAGCCTCATTCAACATTTTTAAATAACGGTGCCACCTGAGAGTTACTGTTATACCGTTTTCTTTAAAGAAATATGGCTCGACAATACGTCTTAATGAAACTGCGCAGTGATTCGTTCTTGGTGAAGTTTCGTCTTGTAAATTTTTTCTGCATTTGATTCACTCCATATAAGCCAGTTTTGCTTGTTTACATTTTCCTTTAGATCGAATGGACCTCATCAGTCAAAGAGGCAATTTATCAAATGAGGACAGTTAAATAATTTTTTGGCAAAAATCCAGGTAAATAGGCAAATCTATAGGGTTTAATCGACTTATTATTTAAACTTTGTATCGAAATTGGTTTAAGTAATCACAATTATCCATTGTAATGACCTTCTGCTAACATCAAGTTACACCGATAAGTTGCAATTCTTGGATTTGCCGGAATTGAGGATGCAACAGCCGCGATTATTTATTGCACACGAACAGACGGATCGCGATAGAACGGTCTTCTCATAATGATCCATCTACACGGGAGAGTGCCCCCAAAATCCAGTCTGAACTCCCTTTGGACGGAAATGACGGACTGCAAAGCTTATTTTGCACAAAGCATTCAGTAAAGGACATGAAATGAACGAAAGCTTGAATTATGAGAGTCGTCTATGTAACTCTGTTAATAACATCGAAAATTTAAGCAAGCAGTGCTTGAAAATCATCAAGTTTGTATTAGAGATATCTCAACATCTTTTAGGGACCATATCCATCACCAAAAAACATGAATTTTACTACAAAAAAGGTGCTGAGTAGAGGTCGTAAAAGAGATGCTCGACAAACGCAGCTGCATCAATACTGATGCTGAGGCGTGGGTTTATGAATATGACATAAATAGGTTTTTCTGGGTTTGCTTTTTCTATAAAATCTAATTTCCCTTCCATATGCGTAGAAAACTATGAATTATGGTGTATATGCAGTAGTTGGTAACTTTTTGTCTTTTAACTTTTGCTTCTGCCCTCAATGGCATTGCCAGAGATCAGCTCATATTGAGCTTCAAATGTCGCACGCCGTTGTTAATATCCAAAAGACCTTTGAATGTTTCTATCAAGTAGTCAATAAGATTTTCCATTTCTTTGGTTTTCAAAGCACAAACTTAGTTGGAATCCATCCAGTACTTCTCTAGAAAAGCACGTATACAAATCTTCGCCGATTGTATCCAACAACGAAATGTACACTGACAGTGTGTCCTTTGCAAATGTCTGCGTAAGAAACATTTTCGCGTTTTGATTGTCGGCCGCAGATTCTTGGTTTTTAGTCGTCAACTTTCAGTTCTGTCGCCAATTTTTTCTTGTCTGAATAAATAGATCTAAAATGTACCTTAGTTTTTACTTTTCGATTTTGGTCGTTACAAGCAGCGTTACTATCATATTGGATGGAATTTTTTCCATTTCCCCTCTCTGAATTCGCCGCTGTATAGTATCACTTCTCGCATCCACAGTGACATCATCGGCCTTAGCCTTCACAACATTGAAATAAATTTCTCATTACTACTCTCTTTCTATTCTATTACTGTTATTATTAAATTCCAATCAGGCCACAGTTTTAAAATGATGAGAAGAGTCAAAAGAGAATACATGTACATTTTTTGAATATAAAAAGTGAGATTATGAAAAAGTTACATAAATCATATTTGTTTGTTGTTTTTTGTTTTAGTCTCGGAACAAATTTAATCATGTAAAATTCAATTAACACAAAAATTTCAATTTCTCACAATACATATGTACACACACTGTTAAATATGCATACTTTTTGCTTACCGTCAAACATTTTTTTTTGCAGTTTCGTGATGTCGAAGACTGCCAGCTGGGGCTACCTGAAGAATGGCAAATTCGACGGCATGATAGGAGCGTTGGTACGCAAACAAGCGGATATTGGTGGCTCGCCGATTTTCTTTCGCATCGAACGTGCCAAAGTGATTGATTACACGACACGAACGTGGGTGGCCAGGTGAGCAAGCGGGGTAAAGCACACAAAACACTCATACAAACAAGCCGATAAATAAAGAGAAAAAATTGCTGGCTGAGCGAAAGTGATAAATGGTAGAAAAAGCGGGGGCAAGTAACAAAAAGTCAGTGGGTGTCGGGAAGTCAAAGTAGACAGTTTGGTTTTTTTGGTGCGGTCGACGATGGCTGTTATTCACAGAGCTGTTGCTTTTTCTGTGTGTTATTGCCGCGCAGTTATTCAGCAAGAGTGCTGGTGGTGTGAGACTAAAAAAGTGACTTACACTAATTCCTAGCAGTGGAAGAGCACAAGCGGTCAACCGCTCAACAGCCACGTGGCGCGCCGAGCTAAAGCTCTTATTCGTGATTGGAGTGTTGGCTATTGCTGTTGTTGTTATTTACATTTGTCGACTTTTTTCAAAGTTCTTTTTTGTCATGTTTAGCACAACAATAATAGTTGTTATTGCATTTATTGCTTGTGGTTCTTTAGCAAATTTTAAAAAGCAATTTGTCGAAAGCTTTGCACATGAAAGCGCGGCCACAGTTGAGTGATGGCAACGCGTTTGATGTGAAGGCCTTGTCGGCACCAGGAATTGCATTATGTGGTGCTTTCGCGCCAGCTTCGCTTATTTCCCTCTAATGCTTTTATTGTTGTTATTGTTGTTGCCTCACCTGTCACCTTTGCTGCTCGCGCCGCACTTGTTGGCGTTATTGTTGCGGTTTATTTAATTTCGCATATTGTAAGCTGTCAATGGCATGAAAAATGATATCAGCACGACCGACACGAGACCCGACGCCGTTTAACGCTCTAACTTTTTTTTGCCATTCACTTTGCATTACCGTTATTTGTGTATTGTCGCCAATTGTTGCTTTTGTGTGCAATGTTGTTGTTGTTTGTTGTGGTTTTTGTTGTGCCGCGGTGTTATTATTATTGCCAAGATAAATGTTTGTAAGTTTAGCCTTTGCGGTTGACACGCATAAATCTTGTGGACAAAATATCGCCAACAAAAAGTCGCACAGCGTGGCAACTTATGTACATATCTTGAACCCCGAACAATGACATTAGTTTGTTGTCTTTATTTATAACAACAATAAATATTTATATGTGTATTAGTTAGCCATTGACAGTTGCGTGCGGAGTGTGAGTGTGAGTGTGAGTGAATACCTGCACACTGGTGGCTAATTTTGTTGTACGATTTCTGTTAGGCTAACACAGTATGTCTGTAAAACAGCAGTGGTTGTTACTGAAATTTCTCTGAGATGTTGCGCTTGAACTTTTTGCTTTCAGTTAAATGTTTTTTGTTCTGTCTTGAGGGAAACTATTCGAAAATTTCTAGAAAAGTATGAAGCATTCTGTAATATTTTATTATAATATTACGTTCCGATCGACACTTAATGTGAGTGTCATGAGATTAAAGCTGTTAAGTATATTACCTGACTAATCTTCTAGATTTGATCATTTGTTAACCTCGTCACCGAGGAGATTCGAAGTGAATCGAATAGAAATTTCGTATTGGTCAAAGAAACATAAATCTTCCGAGATTTAGCGCATGGTGAATATCTGGCCAGTTGTTGATGTTCCAGGCCTACAGCCACACTGATAAGGTCCAATCAGTTTTTCGACGGTTTTCCGATTTTAATCTTTCACACAACAATTCGAACTTCTTCTTTCCGGGTCGGGCAATGGAACCAAAAACGTTATTTCTTTAAACGAAGATGGAAAAAACTTAGTACTAAAATATTTTTAAGGAAACTCTTTTAAGTAATATGAACGTTTTGAAGGATACCGATGGTGTAGGAATGCGATTATAGAGCTTCTTTTATTCAACCGTTGGCCAGACATACGAGCTTTTAGACCCTATCGATTACAAACCAGGCTCTGCCCACTGATTATTGGCGTTAGAACTCTGTTAACCAACAAGCTACCAAGTGGAGACGGGGAATATTGCAATCTTGACTTCTTCGTAAACATTTTTTTTTCGTGGCATAAAAAAAATGAAAGTATAACTTCAAATAATCGATGTCTGGATGTTACATGTGCCGCAAGCCAAAACCCACAAGGAATTGTAGTGATCATTAACCGTTTGAGCTTCAAACATATGTATTTATGAATTACACAAACGGTATTTCTTTATAGATCGCTCCGTGATGAACAATATTAGTTCAAAACGAACTCGCATCATGTGTGAGTGCTTACCAAAAGTTCACTTTTAAAAATAAGATTGTGACGGAAAAGCCAATTTTATTGGTTCGATTTCGATAATTGCAGATTTTAATTAGTACCTAATTATACCCTGAAGGCGGAGACTCTATAAAATATATACATGTAGAAATTATCAGTATGCTGAGCATATTTAATTTAGCCAAGTCCATCTGTAAGTTTGTATATACCCAACCTAGTGCTTAATTTTTCCATATTTTGGATCTGAAATCGCGCATTCGTTTCTTTTTCCCCAAGTAGCTGTATATTTGTCGGCCGTCCATCCAGGCCATGCTAAAATCTACGAAGAAATTCATTAGATCGGTAAACTATGACCTTAGCAGCCATATCATGATCAAAAGTTCTTTTTTGGAATCTTAAAATATTTTAAACTTATTTTACTTTTCATAAATTTGAGAATAAGCCCAGAGGAAACCCATTTTCATATAATACCATGGTTAAATAATATGCGAATATTAAATTACCATTTCCATGTAAAAGTTATCTGTAACTTTCATCAGACCACCACTGTAGTCGTGTCGTGTCACTTCGTTTGGTGTCTACGGTTTTTCACCACACTCCGCCGATTAAATACTCATTTCTCTTGTTAAGCGGTGCAAATTTATGCGCTGCTCAATTTTTGCGTCGCGCTTTCGCGACGCTTCTTATCGCCGTGCGGTGATTTGTTGCACGCGTGCTTGTTGCTGCTGTTGTACTTACGCTCATTGCACCCGAGTTCAATTTTATTTGCGTTCTTTGATTTGTTGTAGTCATTCTTTTTGCACGCCACTTCACCTCCAGCTGTGCTAACGACAATTTAATGCTGCCGTTGCCGTTGCCGCCTCGCTGCTTGCGTCGCTAGCGCTTAGAGACCGGGTTGCTGTTGCTGCAGCTCCCTTGAGTGTGGAAAGGTCACGCCAACAGCTGACTTGACAGCAACTTAAGTGGCAATGAGACGCTGACTTAAGAGCGTGTTGTTCGTGTAGGCAGATGGCAAACGACACGGCGTTGGACAAGCAATTTGTTTTTAGTCGCCGCCGTTCGCTCACTGCTCCATGCCACGTACACGCCGAAGATTGACACATTAATTGAAACTAAATCCTGTCGGGGACATGTTTGCTGATTTAATTTCTTTGTGTAAAATAAGATTTATGTTTGTGGCTTTTCACCTGCTGCGCTGTTGGTTTATTTTGTGGGCGTGTCAGTTGATGAGGGCAGATTGCTGGAAGCTCTCTACTGTGTGGAATTGTGTGCTTGTCTAATAGTTTGGTTTATTATTGTAATGTCTTTTTTATTCGTAGGCCTTGCTTCATATTTCGTCATCCGCCGAGCACCAAAAAGGATCGTATAGTGTTTCTGCAACCCTTTTCAAATATAGTCTGGATTTTATTGGGATTATGTGGCATATTCACCATCTGCTTACTGTGGCTACTGACATCGGTGGAGCGTCGCTTGGAGGCGGTGGGTGTGGTAAAGCAGTTGGGTAGGTTTAATTTATAGTGGCGAAGAAGAATCGCAATTTCGTGAAATTTTGTGCATAATGGTTAATTCTAAGTTTGATATAATTCTTCATACACTAGTGCATATTTTGCAACCTATGATCTAGAAGTAGTTGTATTATATATACGAAACTTTTGGATAACTTTTGGATCTGCCTGAAGCCTCTTTCATATAATAGGAATCAAAAGCTTTCGAAATCTTATTACTTTGAGGCGTTAAGCAAAATATTATTTGTTGTTGCCGTTTAAAGGTCTACAGAAACTTAATTAATTCATTGCTTCACATGGGAGCGAAGTACTTTACGGATGTAAACAAGCATGCGGAGAGCGTTGCGGTGGAGTGCTCGGTCGGTAATTATCCACTACTTCCACTTTTAGCCTCCCTGATCACTCCAGCGACTTCCAAAGGATCTACTAAAATCCCATACTTCGGAACGTAACCTCAATCAAAGTGGTGGTATCTATCCACATCGAAAGCTGGAAAGCAATAGTCTTGTCCTCGCTGACAGAGAGCTCAAGACTAATAATGTCGTGTATAGATGCCAGAGATATACTTTTTGATTTTGGTTTGGATGCCTGGGTACAGCGGAGTTGATGGAAACTGCCAGGTACCTACAGTTGTAGGCTTACTGATTAGTCCAGCGACATCCAAACGGAAGTGGCTAAGAAAAAGGTGGCAGTAATTTCATTTTTCCGGAACGTGACCTCATTCAGAGTGGTGTCTACGCACATCAAAAGCAGAAAAGCGATAAGCGTGTCCTAGCTGACGGTGAGCTCGATTGATTACATGTATACACTCCTTATCTCTGGCATCATTTATGAGTTTGTTTTGGATGCCTGGATACAGCGGAATTGATGAAAACTGCCAAGTTGATGAGTCTGCTAGGTCAGGCATATCAGTCTTACTAGCTTCAGCATGGAAATGGGTAGAAGCTCCGTTGGCTTCTTACGGTTCATTTATAGATTATTGGGTCTCAGGCCAGATAGTGTAGCGAAAAGTTCGCCCTCAGAAAAGTCTACGTTATATGAGTTCTTACTGAACCTTCGCTAGATCAGGTATACAAAATAAAAGCTATAGCATCTGTTCGAATTTTTAAGTTTTKTGCAAAGATCTTMYATTGTTAATACTTRRCAACACTGTCTTGATAYCCACACTAATGTCTCATAGCCTTAAATATAACAGGTTAGTTGTTGGTCTAATTATGTMTATAAATCTTGTCATATAAATCTTTCAAAAATGAATTAAAACTTGGAAAAATGATGAATGTAGATGTTTTGGTCTCTCAGAGCGAACTTTTTACTCGAATTTGAGTCCATCGACAGGAATAAAATAGTAGCCTGCTGAAAGAGCAGACCGCAGAAAATTCTGCTTTCTTATGCTTAAACATCTTCACAACAACTGACATATTTATAGAGTACGGACACTTTAGTGTTTTGGCTCTCAGTCCTTTTTCAGCTTAACAAAATGATAGCCCAGAATCAAGTAACAACCTTAAAAGTCTATTATATAATATTCTGACGACGCTTATTTGCAAGAATATCAGTTAAGTACTACTATTTAGCGGAAAAATTCGAGCTCACTCGTGTCATTAACGACTTCCAGTTCCCATCAAGCAAAACTAATCGATTCACCAGAACAAAGTTGCGCATTAAATGCCATTAAATTATCGGTTATTACGAATTCCGATGATAAAATTTTTCGCGCGACGAACGCGATTTTGACTTTTACTATTTGCCGTCGCTCAGACAAAAGTTTGGCATTTTCTTTTCACTTTAGTAATTTTTATAACCTCTGACGATGGCAATTTCATAAAACACCATTTAGAAGGAAGACGAAGGCATGCCGAAGAGCAAGAATGCCGATAGACAGTGCGAACTTTGTGAAAGTATAAATCAAAACTTTCAATTTCCAAGCAAACCAAAGGGCCAAAAATTGCAGCAAAACGCCGTTAGGATGCATTGCAAGGCACACGGGACGATAAACGCCGCAATGTCGAGTCGAAGTGCATTGGCACAGTGGCAGTCACATACAATGCTTGCTATTGATAACGGAGTGTACGAGGGTGGTTCGATAAGACAAAAACTAAGGAAGGTTAATAGACTTCATCGGAAAGGTTTTGTTGGTGGGTTGAAAAGGGAGGTGCAGAAGTATCAGAACACCCGGCGGCTGGACTTAGACTATCATTATGTCTATTGTGCTCCCTGGTTTAGCTAAATTAAGTCATCTCAGCAAATTGGTAGATTTGGTAAAATATCATTTTTCACACCAGCTGCCCTATGTCTCTTAATTTGGAACATTGAGAATGACCCGCCTCACCCGACTGAAGGCTAGTCATTCGCAAGTAATGTTCCAGCGTCTCATCTGCATTCCGCCGATTCCACTTTTCCAATATTTTGAAGTGATATCTTAAGGGTGGTGCCCCATAAAGACCCCTACAATATGATTAAGTATATCTGTGCTTAGAAGAAGAAGCTTTTTGGTCTATCCACCATCTGCATTACCGCAAAGTAACTTCGTAGTATGTCTCGTGTTGGTAGTGTTCCAAGATCTAAGGTGTTTCTCTAGGTCTACTGCATCAAGCAACTGTTGTAAGAGCTGCATGGTTTGGAACAGTCGTGTACTCGTCTGCCTTTTCGTTTCCTTTCATTCCCATATGGCTTGGCATTGGAAAAAAAATTGTCAGTAGATGATCAGGAGTGATAGCAGGAACAGTGGAGAATGCTACTGCCTTCCTTCCTTATCGAGCAAAATGTGTGAACAGTTGAGAACGTGGCAAAAATCAGCCATCTTTGTTAGTTTTCATTTGAACAATGTTGCCATTGCTCAATACGCATATATAGTTTTGTACACATCTATGTTTTTAATTAAAATTTTTTATAATATAACATATCAAAACTGAAAACAAACTATTAAAAATTTTAAATAATAGCATTCGACTCTGATTTTGAGTTATTTTAAGAAAATTTCAGACATATTGAACAGATTGAACTATAAAAGTTGATAATTACTACAGTAAATAGATATTGGCAACCCTGCGTTGTGAAAGAGCAATCAGCTGACACGTTTCTACGGCAAAAATCCAAATGCCGTGAATTCTCACGTCATTTTACTTCAAAGAGAGAAGGGAGTAGCGTTTTTCACTGCGCACTTACATTGCGCTCCCATAAGATGGGTCGTATCGGCTGACACGGGCCACGATTCTGCCTTCTCCACTGCTCCTGCTATGAGGCTTAACGTCAGTATTTAACTATTTGACAAAAAAAAAAAAACCCAAGCTCAGCTAAGTCTCCATAAAGTCTTTTCCAAAGGGTTTGAATCTCTGTCAGGCCTTCTCTCGGCCTAGTCATACCTATTCTACAGCTTTCTGTCCAGTTATTGAATTCAGTTCGAATGATGTGGGCTACGCGCTTGATCAGGACCTTTCCTGAGCTGAAAAATATTACACAATTCTTCGCCACTGTGTTATCGGACCACCTTCGTACCCTCATCGCGCTGGTGATTACATGCAGTGTGCACTGTGGCTGACTGCAGGGCATGCTGGGACACTTCGAGCAAATATCGTCGGCGAAAAGTTTTTGTGCGGCACGAATGCGTGCCTCTGAAAAATGAGAGATCATTGCCATTAAATTCTCAGCTCCATTGCGTACATGGCACATGCTCGTGGTACTACGCAGTTGTTTTTTTTTTCTGTAAAATTTTGGACGTTATTACTTGCTGCGCCCGAGGTCAAAATCTACTAGAAACTCTTTTTTAACTCACATTCCACTCCTTCCTTCCGCACTAACCTACCGCTTTTTGCTTTATCCTTTCATTGATTTCGCCAACAATTGACTCCCTGGTGAATGCTGCGACACAAAAGGACACAGCACGCGCAGCAGCAACATGAACATCGGAGGCACCACCGCCAACAACCAACAAGCGAGCGCAATCGGCGGTAATGATGAACTACCACCAGTTGGTTGCCGCTGTTCCACACGAACGACGCTAAGTGCCGGGACAATGCTGAGCTGCGGCGCTCGCTACGCGCCGTCGGTTGCCGCAGCAACAAAAGAGCAACGGAAACAAAAGCCGGGCAAGTTGATGCAACGAAGTAAGACGGAAGCGCGAAAGAATGTGCAGAGTATTAGCTGCAGGCATTGCATGCTCGGCTGCGGCAGTGCGTGCTGTGGCCAGGCAGGCAGCGTTGTGGCACAAGAGCGCGTTGGCTTGTTCTTCGAGTCGGTGCTGTTCTACGTGGGTTCCATATGCCAACAAGGTAAGTTTGTCGAAAAACTACTACTACAGTAGTACATAATGTTAGCGTTAAGGGCACGAGGAGCGAAGAGGGGCGCTTTGAAAACTAATATACGCAGGAACTTTGGCGAAACATACACATAGAGCAAGCTCTCGAGAAATTTTGGGTTGCACAAGTGAGTGGCAGTTACATGTAAGCTGTAGCAGTTGCGTGTCTGTGTTTCTGCGTTTGAGCTCTTAGTTTTATTGGCATGTTTGGTAGCATGTGTGGTATGCAACGCAATTTATGCGCTCACAAGTTTACTTTTCAGCTTTGCTTTCATAACTAAGCACACTACTTTCCCAGGGTGCGGCTCACGTCTCTCTCTCTCTCTCTATCTCTCTGTTTGTGTGCGCTACCTTTTCGGGTTGGAGGTTCTTGAGTTCAATTTCGTTTGTTTGGCTTTGTTACAAGACTTTCCCATTCTTGTAAACATAACTGAACAAATTGCTAGTGAATTTGTTGTGGCAAGACGTGCATCGGCTTGGAGAGCGCAAACAGTGCTTCTTCTTACAAATTTGTAAGAAATGCTTTTGAAGCGGAAAAATTGTGCTAAGTCAACACCGAGTAATGCTAGGAAAATATTGCATTTTTATTTAATTACCGTTATTATTTTATTATTTAATTAGGTCAGGCTCAGAGCGAGTTAGTTGTTTGCTGTGGCTCAGAATGGTGAAATGAAAGTGAAAGCTTTTCTGCCGTTAGTGAGCTTTTATTTAATAAGGAGAGACTGAAAATTATTAATATATTATTATCTAATTGCATCAATTCTTTGAAACGTGGGTCCAAGTCTTGGTCTAAACTTTTTTTATTCTGCTATAAACAGTTTTTTCTATTGGTGATTATCTGGATTGCTGCCGAAAACTGCTTATGTGACTTTGATTCCGAAGATGGGTACAGTTGCGTATAACTGTGCTTCTGTTAATACTGCTAAATGTGCAGGAGAGTTGAAATCTAAAGTGCAAGGTCGTGCTCTCTGAGTATTGATAGTCAGTTCTGCAAATAATAGATGTTCAGGTTTTGTAAGATATCGAAGACGCTGAAATTTCGGATCCCAAAAATAAGTAACCCTGTCCTTTAAAGGATGTAGCTACCTATCAGTTATTTTCACTATATATAACCCTTTATCTTATTATCAATGAAGTCCGCTGTGTTTAGCTTATGAGTTATGCTTTTACAATTAATATTCAAATAATAATTTTCGAATAGAACTTTTTTGTGATAATATCGGGTTGTTCTTTTTACATTTGGCTTCAGTAAGGTTCGCCATTTCATTATTGAAAGATATACCAAAAACGTCTCGAAATTATTAAATTAAATTATAGTCGTCATAATCACCATCTAAGATCAACAATTGWGKGTCTGGTGGAAMAATTTGAATCCACAAGCACAGTARAAARTGTTGACGTGTCAGTGAGRCAAAGAAGTTCCGCAGTGTCGAKAATACTGCTGCCGCTAGCGCATCCGTTRAGGAAGACCCAAACTCCAGTCTCAGTGACTCTCACACGTCTTTCTGAAGCATAGATCATCACTGTGACGTCGCTGTGGCGAATTTAGTGAAAATATCTTGGCCTGTGTCCTTACAAGATCAAATTGACTCAAGAACTGAAACCGCTTGATCACCAGAATCCTAGTATGTTCGTGAATTAGGCTCAGTAACAACTTAAAAAGGATCCGGATTTTTATTAAAAAATCGTCTTGTGTGGGTCATTTCTGGCTGAATGGCTTCGGCAATAAGCAAAATATGTATTATAAGTCAGGCAGCAATCCACGCGTACTCCATGGGTCACCATTGCATCCCAAAAAAATTACGGCTTATGAGCCGACGGCGTCATTGGGCCGCACTTCTTCCGTGATGATCAAGATCGGCACGTTACTGTGAATGAGAATCGCTACCGCCTAATTATAACCGAATATTTTTTTCCCGAACGGACGATATGTACTTGGACATATCGGTCGTTCCAACAGGATGTTGTCAATAGCCACACAGCGAATGTCACAATCGACTTACTACATCAAGTATATGTCATTTATATGTATCTATGTCAACAAGACAGCGATGTTAGATGAACTTCGATTATCGAACGAGAAATTGCAGCATTTTCGGGCGATTTATGCTTGAAAGCCGTCGAAAATTGGATTCTGCGTCTGGAATTTAGCAAGCGTTCCCACGGTGGCCAAGAAAAGAAATTGAGTTCCATACAGAATGACACGAAATGTACTTTTACAGGAATAAAGAATTTCATTGATATCCCCAATCGCTTTGTAGCACTCTTATTGAAAATCCGTTATATTGGCTAAGAGCTCTACCAAAAATCCGTCGTTTGCTTGGCGTCTAGAAATTTGTAGTATAGAAATTTGTAGTATTCTATATTTGTTGAAAAAGATTAAAGGCCTTATTTGTTCTCATTGAATGGAGAAACATCAGGATTATGGATCTAGACATCAAATTTGGATGTACGTTCTCGTATCCTTTAAGATGAAATATGTATAATATTTAACAGTTACAATAAACGAATAGCGTTAAGTTTGTGTGTAATTAAACATAGTGACGTATCCATAAAAGTTTATCTGAACTTTTGATAGAACCCAGTGCATTTCTTCTTCGCTCTCATGAATGCTGATCGAGTCAACTTCTCTGGAAGCAACATATACTTATTTGCTCATTTAGCTTGCAAACCCAAGCAACCACACCCTCCGCCATAATGAGTGGAGAAATTTAAACTGATTACCTTTTCGTTGCCATTTCTTCTCCTTCTCCTTCTCCTTAAACATAAACTACCATCGATTTTCACGTCATGACACGTTTTGTAGAAATCTATCCAACAACAAAACGCATTAAATTGCAACAATCAATGCAATTGGGCAACAGCTAATGGGTTCTGTTTCTGCTGCTGAGTGGTTGAGAAAATAGCAAAGTCATTACCGTTGTTAGCGTCTGCCGCTTGCGTTCGGACAAGATTGTGTAGAAACACTAAGTACTGAACTTCAAGGTGGAAGATTTTATATATTACAAGGCGAGTACTGTTTGAAACTTGATTGTATTGGCGGAGCAAGAAATTAAGAAATGGGAGGTGTACAATTCGAAAACTTCGAAGTATTGTGGATAAATAAATGAGCTCGTTAGAATACACAACGGTGGGTGGAGATCGTAATGTTGCTAATTACTTCATTCGCATTTTACGAGTAAACATACGAGTACCATACATATCTGTGAATCGTAGGATTACAATGTTTCGATGATTTGGGGATATGTGCTTTGATGGTTAAATTTTAGGATTATATGTATGAACTTCCGATAAGTTAAATGGTACCACTATTTTTTTTTTAATATATTTTTGGGAATGTCAGAATAGTACGAATGTTGAAAATATCGTTCACTTCGATGTTCACGAGATGCAAGAGTGTGAGTTCAGCTGCATGTTGCATAGAGAAATCAGATCTAGCATAATTCCATTATAATTGGATCAGAAGTGAGCTTTTCTAGATCTGAGGTCTTGTGGGAATGAACATAAAACTTAATATTTGCTAGCAAGGACTTCCTCCGATTCTCGAAGCATAGCTGAAAGCAAGTGATGTTGTTGTGCGGAGAAGTCTACGAAGCATAATTTCATATTATCAATGATATCAATATTGCTCTTAACTTCTTCGACGAGAACTTAGCAGCTTTAAGACTAAAAATCAGTATATTGATAGGAAAATAGCAATTTTTACTTCAACTTGGTTACCGAGTCCACTCTTCAGCATGTGTATATATTAGGGTGATTCAAAAAACATTTTTTTTTCGTTTGGTGCTC